CAGTGGGTTGCCATGGGCTACCGTATGTAGCCAGCAGCCACTGTGAGCAGCCGTCCAGAAGCCGGCGACTGATCTGCCTCGCCTGGGAAGAGCGCGATGATGGTGCCAACTTGGGCCAGTGAAGCAACGTCCTCCACAACTAAACTGAAGAACAAAAGGACAGCAACTTGTCTGTTCCCCTTCCCCCGATTCCCCAGAGCTGTTTCCATCCCCCAATTCCTCAATAAAAATCTTAAAAAAAAAAACTCATTGGACCCTAAACCTCAACTGGGTTCCAAAAGTGTTAAAGATAAGTCTACAAACAACAAAATACAGTATACTGTGAAAAGAATTTGTCCCATCAGTAATTATTTCAACCACAATGCTGCCTACTTGGTTCAGAACAACAGCCCCCATCTCACCAGAGTGATTTGCTAGAAGGAAGAGACTACATGGTGGAAAGGCCTTTAATGAGAAGTGCGTTGTTTGGATCAAGTTCCAAAACACTTAACTGTCACAGTCCCACAGGTAGTAGGGTAATTGTGAGGCAGTATATACTATCAGAGGAAGCTGAAACAATTGGTAATACAGATCAAATTCTCTAAAGGAAAAGTACTTATTGATAGCTGCTATCACCCTAGAAGAAAAAGAACTTCAATTTCAACTAGTCTGCCAGCACAATAACTAGTTTCCAGGAAGCTATACCTACAAAAATCCATGCTTTCTCTGAGGGTCTGCCTCCTGTATACTCTAAGAACCTCCTACTACCTAAAACATTTTTCCTTAGATCAAGGGTGCCAAATCAAATAACTGGATTCCCTGTCGTTTTGATTATATGTATTAATAGTCCTTTAGATTAAACTTGTATTGTATTAAGTGTGTGTTGTAGGGTATTACATATAAAGTTACTCAAAGTATTATTCTTTACAATAATATTACAAAATGGATTTTAAAGTAAGAAAACCTCAAATGTTACTATTGAGAATAAAATCACTTACCTTGAAATTTTCTGTGATCAGAGTAAACAACTTGGTTGAATTCCCCGCAACACAAGCAGTATTTGACATTATTATTTCCAAAGGTGATAAAATTTTCAGTTTTGTGATCACCTAAAATCATTTGAATTATCAATTTCTTAAATGTAAGCTTAGGACTCTCTAATACAAAAGTTCTATGTTTTTCTGAGAGAAAAATACTTAAAATTAACTCATATAGATACAAAATTACAACTGTCCTAATTATAATTTCAATTAAAATATATTTCTAATGGTTGTATATTAAACATATATCCTATGTAATCACAAATATAAAATATTTCAAAAACATAGGCTATATTTTACTCACAATAGCTTGTAACAGCTCTCAGTGCAAAAATTAATTTGAATTTATCAAATATATATTCCTAAAATAAGATTTTTTTAAAATAAATTCTTCTATTCAGTATTTTGTCCATCTCTATGAAAAAAATTCACTCTGAGAAAAGCGTCTTAGGAACCGGTGTGGAAAACAAAGATTTTTGAGGAGTGTACTAACCACTTAACTTTCCCAGGCCGCTCTTCTAGCCTAGATCCTGAACTTTCCAGCCTCCCGCCAGCCCAGCTCCCTTCAGACTGACTAGCCTCCATCATCCAGACTGACACATGCCAATAACTTAATCTATCCTGTCGGTTCTGTTTCTCCTCACAGGGATTTTGTACAATTGGTTTTTGTATACTGACAGAGACTTAATGTTTAAAAGCCAGGGGACATTCTATCAGCAACCAAGGACCTCAGGTTCACTCCTGAACCGATTTTTCCTCCAACTGCAAGTTTTACAGGTCTACCTGTCCCTAGTTGTGCCACTAAATGTGTAGACAGTTACCACCCTGAGGTTCTCTTAATTCAATGTACTCTGCAATATCTACAAGAAAAAAAAAAGTAAAATAAAATAAAAATCACCAAAAACCAGAGAGAGAGAGAGAGAGAATGAATAACAAAGGGAAAAAAACGAACAAAAAATTCAGTAATATAACGATGGTAATAAAATCAATATGGGGCCGGCCGAGTGGCGCGATGGTTAAGAACTGGCTTGGGATGCCAGAGGGCCCCGGTTCGGATCCCACATATGAGGGCCAGTGACACTGCCCTCTACAGCTAAGATGCTGAACAACAGCTCAACCTGGAGCTGGGCTGCTGTGAGTCACCGGCGACAGCGTAGGCTGCAGCCCCTGTGGCAGTGGGTTGCCACGGGCTACCATATGTAGCCAGCAGCCAGCGTGAGCGGCCAACAGCCACAGTGAGCGGCCGTCCAGAAGCTGGCGATTGATGTGCCTCGCCCAGGAAAAGCACAATGATGGTGCCAAGTTGGGCCAGTGAAGCAACGTCCTCCACAACTAGACTGAAGAACGAAACGACAGCAACTTGTCTGTTCCCCTTCCCCCAATTCCCAGCACTGTTCCCATCTCCCAATTCCCCAATAAAAATCTTAAAAAAAAACCAAAAAAAATCCCAATATGACCACAATGGTACAGCTTATAAGTTGAAAAGTAAAAAACAATCAAAGATGAGAAGCATCTGTTTCATGACTAATGCTTTTTTCACAATATAAGGTGCATATCTTAGAACTACTCTAGACACAGACATTCTTAATCAGTTTGTCTAACATTCCTGTATACTCTAAGAAATCTCCTTATTACTGAAAACATTTTTCCTTTTATTTAAAGTAGATCAAGGGTGCCAAATCAAATTAAGCGGATTCTCTGTCATTTTGATATGTATTAATAGTCCTTTAGATTAGAACTTGTATTTAGAATGTACTTTAGGGTACTAAACATTCCTGTTTTATAAAAACATTTTTCCTATTCTTTTTCAATTGTATAAAAATGTGAAATACTCAAGAGATGAAGGTAGTATACTCATTTAGGTTGTTAGGTATATTAAAATTTTAATTATTAGGTGGAGAAGGAAGCCTATATACTAGAGAACTATAAAGGAGAATTAGAGAAAGGAATTTAAAAACACTAAAGTAAAATATATTATCTTTTTTTAAATAATAGTAATTGGGTCAAATTACTTTTTAGAATATATAGACTAGGAGTAGACTACTCCTACCTGTTATGTCAGACAAATTCCCATGACATTAGACCTGTGGTCCAAATTAATGAATAATAGGAAGTAAAGGCAAGAAAAGACTAAATTATGGCTGATCTAAGAGACCAGTTTCCCTTAACTCTCAAAAATAACATTCAAATACAGTTCAGTAGAAATAACACTTTGAAAACAGCATTATTACATATATTATCTTTGTAATGAGTCCAGCATTTATTAAGATATTAATTTTAGAAACTAATGTTAATAGTAATTTGAAATGATTAGATAACAGCAAAATGCTATTTTTAGGACTAAATATACTCAAAAAATTAATATCAGATGTAAAACAATTTTATCTTAATTCAGACTAACATTAGTACAATATTGAGTAACCTGCATTCTCCCAAAAAGTAAACTAATTAGGAAAACACTATCTTGAAAATCTGAATACTGCCAACTAGATCAACCATTATCTAGGATTATAAATACTTACCTTGGCATATGTTGTGTTGTCTGCAAACTGAGATAATATAATTTGTGGGCTTTTTAAATCAATACTTGCCATTCCTATTTCTCCTCTTGCAAGTCCTCTTCCTTCTACAACAGCTACAATAACTGATGGGGAGTGTATAGAAACTGCAGATGAGGATGTAGCTGATAAAAAAAAAAAATTAAAGAAAAAGTAAAAACATCAATAATTTCTAATTTTTTTTCTAAGATCCCAAGACATCATGTCTAGGACATGGTTATTAATATCTAAAGAAATAATCTTTTTACTCATCAAAAAATAACTTTTCATACCCAGACAAAATAAAAATGTTAACTCTCAAAGTATTTTGCCAAAACTTAACTTCACTTTTAGAAATAATAAATTTATACATTGTCTTATTTTGCATTTTACTGAAATGCAGTTATAAAAGAAACACTAAATTTAAGATCAGAAAACCTAGATTATTTATTTTATTCTGTCATTTAAAAGCTACATGAATTTGGGGTCCGGCCGAGTGGCTCAATTGGTAAGAGCATGAGCTGTGAACAACAGGGCTGCAGGGTCAATTCCCACATGGGCCAGTGAGCTGCACCTTCTACAGCTAAGATGGTGAACAATAGTTCGACCTGGAGCTGGGCTGCTGTGAGTCACCGGTGACGGTGTAGGCTGCAGTAGGGCTGCAGTGGGCTGTTGTAAGCTACTGTGAGTGGCCGGCAGCAGGCAACAGCTTCTGGGAGCCGCCATGAGCGGCTGTCCAATGGTAGGCAACCGACTGCCTCAGCCGGGAAGAGCACAATGATCATAATACCAACATAGGCCAGTGAAGTGGTGTCCTCCACAACTAGACTGAGGAACAAAAGGACAACAACTTGGCTGTTCCCCTTCCCCAATAAAAATAATAATAATAAAAATAAAATAAAAGCTATATGAATTTGAGCAAATTATTTTGTAATAAATAATCATCAATTGCAAAATATAACGTAAAAACTGCCTTGTAATAACTCAAGAGCTGGCTGAAAGGATCAAATGTGATTATATATATGAATGCATTTTATAAAGTATAAAATATGATACTATCTATAAACTCCAATTAAGAGATATTTGTGCAATGTTGGATATTTTATTGATGTGCCAAGAATGTTCTAAGTTTGATTAACTCAATAATTGTCACAACAATTCTAGCAAATAGACATCGTTATTTTATCCATTTACTTATAAGGACACTGAGGCATAGATGAAACTTACCAGTCAGAATTTGTATCCAGGCAAGGTGGCTCCAGAACTGGTGCTCTTAACCACTACATACATATATGATTTTAAGATCTGTGCCTTACAAACTATGAATATTCAGGTAGGTTGTTTAGCCTTTCTACCACTTCTTATCTATAAAGTAGAAATACAAATCTTTTTACACAAAGTTCTTATAATTTAATGCAGAGGAACACTTGAGATCTTGCTCCCCAGTGTATGGCATCAATTTGTCTAAAATAAACTTTTATAAAAATTCAAAACAAAGAAAAAGAATTGAATGCAGTAATACAGAAGTATTCATAAAGTATATAATTTAAATATAGAATATTATTCATAGATTAAAAAAAGCAGACTAAAAATATCCAAAATTTTATTTTTGAAGAACTAAAATTATTTATTTCCTTGTCAACATTTCAATATATCTGTTTTCATCCCTCCTTTCCCACCCTGAAGTAGATTCCTGTTTTCTTTTCTATTCTTCTACTAGTATGTCTACAAAATTATACATTTATGCTTAGTCAGTAGTCAACTTAAGAGTTCATTTAAAAATCTATTATGTCTTGATCTCAGAACCCTTTGAGCAAGTTCCAGTGAAATTCAATATACTCGGAAGACATTTCCTTTAAAATTCTAAAAGAACTTTTACAGTTATTCTCTGTTATAAACAATAGTATGATGACCATCCTTGTTCATTTTCTGTTTTTTTTTGTTTTTTTTTTTAAGCTGAGCCATCCTGCCACCTGTTGGCAGCTCAGCGGCTGCTCAGCTCGGGCCGGGAATTGAACCACTGTTGCTCAGAGCTCAAACTCTTGAGCAAGAGCGAGCTCTTAACCAACTGAGCCACTCGGCCAGCCCAACCATCCTTGTTCATGAAGCTTTTTTCTGCCTGTTATTATTTTCTTAAAGTGGATTCTTTGAAGTCAAATAACGGAAAACCACTATTTTTTTTTTTATGGACCTCATATATATTGCTAAATTTCTTTTCACAATTGCACCAATTTTTAATACTTACTATATCCTTACCAAAACTAATTTCTGAAATGTATTATTATTATTGGCTAATTTAATAGACTGGTGCTTAAATTTGTAAATTTTTTAATTATAAAATTTGAACATAATTTGAACACATTCATTTGCTTTCTACATTTTCTTTCTTTTTTTTTAGCTGAGCCACCTGTTGGCAGCTCAGCAGCAGCTCAGCTCACGCCAGGACTCGAACTGCTGTTGCTCAGAGCTCAAACTCTTGAGCGAGCTCTTAACCAACTGAGCCACTCAGCTGGCCCTCTACATTTTCTTTTGAGATGTTTATACCCTTTTAATATAATTTTTACAAGGTCTTAATGTTTTCAATCTGTTTTTATGAGAATTTTATAAGTCAATGACAATAATTTACAGTTGCTACTAATCTTGATTTTTCTGATATCTCAAAGATTTCAACTTTTGTATAGATAATATTTTCCTTTGTAATTTTTTCCACTGCTTTTCTGCTAAGAAACTCCTCCTTTATTGAGATACTTGGTATGCATTACTGTTTTCTTCTAAGTTTTTGAGTTATTTTCTTCATTTTGATCTTCCATCTGGGCAGAACTTTGAGCAGTACATCTGGTTGTTCACATGTGTGGAATGAAGATGATCAGAAGTACAGATTTAGACTCATTCATAAGCAGTTTCTAATGGTCTAGCTGGACGATCAGGGACTTGGAAAGAACAGGATTGGAAGATGGTGACAAGAAAAGCTGGCGAAGAAGTATGTAGATGGATTTCTCAAAATGGGCATAAACTTTGAAAATATTTGTATTTCATGTGAATACTCTTTAAGAGGACTCTTAATAACCAGGTGGACAAAATGATACACTCTGTGGAGATCAAGTAGCCTCTATTCCCAGCCACCCCAGTGCTTTTCCAATAGACCCATGAATAAAGTGGTCATGTTGGCAACTTCCTCTTACCAAAGCTGACCTGGTTAACCACACTGCTGAGTGCCTAATTGGCCAATAGCAGAGATCAACATTAAACGACCCAGAAAGCAACACTGCCCAGGGAGACCTTAGGTTCATTACACTGGATTTCTTCCATCATGAAGGGGGGAAATATTTGTGCTCGATGGAACAAATACATATTCTAGATACGGATTTGCCTTCTTTGCCCACAATGCTTAAACCAGCATCACCATCTGTAAACTCTTAGAATGACTTATCCACCATCATGGCATTCCACATAGTATTGTATCTGATCAAGAAACTCATTTCGCAGCAAAAGAAATACATACATCAATGGGCTCATGCCTATTAAATCAACTTGTCTTACCATATACCCCATCCTCCAAAAATGTCTAGCTTAATAGAAAGGCATAACGGCTTACTGAAGAGTCAGTTATGGTGCCAATTAGGAGACAACACCCTGAAAGAATGGGATTTTGTCTTACAGAATGCAGTATATATTTTGAAGCAGAGACCATTATACGATGCTGTATTCCTCATAGCCAGAATACACAGGTCCAGGAATCAGTGGTGGAAGTGGAAATGGCTATTCTCACTATCATACCTACTAACCCACCTTAAGAATTTTTCTTTCCCATCTCAGAAACTTTGAGCTCTGCTGGCTCAGAGATCTTAGTCTCCACAAGTTTATTGGTTCCACCAGGTGGCAAAACAATGGTTTCACTGATTTGGAAGACGACATTGCCACCTGGCCATTTTGAACTCCCTATTTATACTACTGAACCAATAGGGGGGGGAAAAAAGAGATGAATGGAGTTGTCAATCCAGGTTACCAAGGGAAAATAATGCTGCTATACACAAAAGAAGCAAAGTGGACTATGTATGGAAGGCAGAGGATTCTCTGAGGCACCCCTTAGTATTTCCAATAGTAAAGGTTAATGAAAAACTACAGTAACCTAAAAAAGGCAGGATGACTAAGAACTCAGGCCCTTCAGGAAAGAAGGTTTAGGTCACCCCTCCCCTTATTGCTGAGGGTACGGGAATTATGAAATGAGTAGTATAAGAAAGAAACCATAGATATCAACTACAACCTCATGACCAATTACAAAACCAAAATGTTAGTAGCTTTGGATATTTTCTCTATGCTTTGTTACATGCATGTGCATATTTGTATAAACTAACCATTTTATTCTCTCTCTTTTCAACTTTAAAAAATTTTGTATACAAGTTATTGGAGGTTAACTTTACAATTTAGTTTCTAGGTAACAGAATATTCAGTGCAACTGTAACTGAATTTGGGATAATTGATATACAATGACTACTGGGACAATAAGTCTTCTCATTTTGGGAAACAGTGAGAACTTCCTTACTTGTAAGGATAGAATGTTAGGTAGAAACATAGTTATTTTATTGTTAAGAAGTCCAAATGTGTGTAAAAGGATACATATGGAAGTTGAGTGGTCAAAAGAATTATGCCACTTACTAATTTGTCACTCAGTTCCAAATTCACCCTTCAATATAAGCTCTGCAATAAGGGACAGAGTTCCAGTTCCTATAAGCACTTCTGCTTTCAAGTGTGCATAATGATAACCTTTCTCAGTAGAGAGCACCAGAGGGACTTTGCAGGATGAAGGGCTCTCTTGCAATTTCCACTGCAGCGTGGTGGGTCAGCAGTGTTGGTATGAGCACATCTGGTGGTGATATGCCCAAGCCACACACCCAGAATGTGCTGTCCCTTTGCGATCTCACAGCCTCAGCATGGCGTGGTAACAACCCTCTCACAGCCCTCTTGATAGAGACATCCTGCACTCCAGCCCACTCCTTTTATTCCTTCAGCCTCTCTTCAAGTTTGTCTCCCATAGTCCTCTTGATGTCACCGCCCTCCTAACAGAGAGACTATGTGCTCCAGGCCTCCTGCCCATACTGGAGCCCACTTCCACTGTACATCCACATGCCAGCCACCAGCTACAGTTCACCTACCCTGCCTGCTTCCTGTTTGCCCTGTATAGGGAACCAGCTCTGGCCTGGCAAATCTGCAGACTCTGCCATTCAGTAGGTTCACCTTCACTTTCTCCAATGAGATCTGTACCCCAGCCTTGGAGATGGGTCCTGGAGAGGCCCATGTCCAAGTATGATCTCTTGGGACTCCCCTCAGCTCTAGAATGCCTTATAGTATTTTTTTATATCCTATAGTAACTTTTTTATCATAATTTAATAATTCTTTATACTAAATCCCCCCTGTTTAAGTCACTGTATGATTCTACCTTCAGATTGGATCCAGAATACTACAGTCTCTGCCTTCATGGAGGTTATAGTCCAGGAGAGAAGAAAGACAATTAAAATAGCAATATTATTAGTAAAATACAAATTGAAATGGGAGCATATAGCAAGGAGGCTTAACCCATACTTACTTTCTGAAAGGAGTAACATCTAAGCTTAGACTTGAGGAATAAGAGTTGACTATATGAAAAGGGGAAAAAAGAGTTTTCTAAGCAAAGGAAATAGCATATACAAAAGAGAGAACACTGTGTTCAAGATATAGAAAAAGTTCATAATGGTTAAAACATAAAATACAAGTGAGAAAATAGTATGAGGTGATGCTGGAAAGACTGACTACAGTTATATTATGCAGTCCCTCATTAACTATATCAAGATATTTAAACTTGATCTTAACATCAAGGGGAAGCCCAAAATTATCAGAAATAATAAGAATACAGCAAGGTGGCTATTATGGGCTAAATTGTGTCTTCTCCCCCGACCCCTCACCCCCAATCCATAACGTTTAGGTTCAGTGGGACCATGACTGAGTTCAGAATGGGACTACATTTGGAAATAGGGCTTTTAAAGAGGTAAATAAGGTTAAATGAGGTCATTAAAGTGGGCCCTAATCCAATATGACTGGTGTCCTTACAAGAAAAGATTAGGACACACACAAGCACAGAGGCACCATATGAAGAGACCGGAAGAAGACAGCCATCTGCAAGCCAAGGAGAGAGGCCTCAGGATGAAAGCAATCTGCTGTATAAAAGGGAAAGCTTTTTCTTTCTTAAGCTTTTTTGGCAAAATGGTTAAAATAATGTAGACCTTCATTTATTAACAAACTACAAGAAACTACATAGCCTTATTAACTGTGGCTCAAATTATGGACATGGATAAATTGATGTATTTATCTTTCAGTCATTCATATCAATTACAAATCACTTCAGCTGAACTTAACCACCCTAATTTATAATTTTCAAAACTTTTAAAGTTTCAAAAAGTCATCTAGGTCAACATTCCACTCATTTTACCTGAATATCCCATTTGCGGTGTCCAACTTTTATGACCTGATCTCTGAGGATTTCCAGCAGACAATGGAGTTTTTAGTATTTGAGGATGATTATCTCGTGCAGAAGATGAGCTTGTATCAAAAGTCAGATTTGATGCAAATGCGTTTCCTGCATAAGATCTTTTGTTTCCAAAGTATGAACCTAATTTGAAAAATTAAATATCAGTTATTAAAGATTCAGAATTATGCAATAACGTATTAAGCCCCATAATTTATACCATATTCACTTTCTATAAAATTTCATCTGCTAACAATTTTTTAAAATATAACAGATTCCAAAAAATGACATTATTGATAATCTTGTACTAAAACATGAAGAAAAGTGTTTGCTAATACGGCTTTTGCTTCTACAAGTTCACTAAGACTACTCTGCTAAAATTGTAAATTATCTCCTAATCTTCAAATACAGAAAATGTTTACTTTGTGATTAGGGGACCACTTTTCCTCTGTTGACGTCTTCATCTAAATTCTCTCCTCCCATGTAAATGGTACAAAGGAAGTTTTAGACTCACTTGAATTCAGTTCCTTATTTAGGTACGTACCTTTTGCTATGAGACGTTGCCTATTTTACAGGATTGTCATAAAACTTGAAAGGATGTACAAAACATCTTAGCAGAGTGTTTGGCACATAGTTCTTTAAAAAAATAATGGGGTTCTGTACTCCTACTTCCCTTGATTCCCATACAACTCTCTATCTTGGTTTTCCTTAGACCACTTGCTTTGTTTCTTTTGCTAGATACTTTTCCCTCTGTCTGCCTCTTAACTGTTGACTTCCCAGGGTCCCATACTTTTTCACCATCTCTCTCAAATCAACATTATACATTTTTTCTGGGCATCTCATGTATTAGCTTGGTTTCTATTAATATTTATTTCCTGAAAACTCTCATCTTCATATATAGCCCTAACTCCTCTCTTACACTATAAACCACAAGTTATCAAACTTTTTAATAAGGGGCCAGATGGTAAATATTTTAGGCTTCGTGGGCCATAGCATCTGTCACAATTACTCAATTCTGACACGGTAGCAAGAAAGAAGCCATTGACAATATGTAAATGAATGAGCATGGCTGTATTTCAATAAAACTTTATTTATGGATACTGAAATCTGAATTTCTAATAACTTTCACATTACAAAATATTATGTTTCTTTTACTTTTCAGTCCTTTAAAAATGCAAAAAACCTACCATTTGCAACAATATGGGTGGACCTAGAGAACATTATGCTAAGTAAGTCAGATGGAGAAAGACAAATACCATATGATCTCACTTATATGTGGAATCTAAAGAATAGAATAAATGAGCAAACTAATCAGAATCAGTCTGAGATATAGAGAAAAAGTTTAATTGAGGATTGCTAGATAGAAGGCGGGTGGGGATGAGGGAGAAGGTGAGGAGGTTATAAAGCACAAATTGGTAGCCACAATATTGCCACGGGGATATGAATGACAGTTTGGGGAATATAATCAATAATGTAAAGATTTTATAGGGTGTCAGATGGGCACTTGTCTTATTAGGGAGACCACTTCAGGGATACAAACAACAGTTTGGGTAATATAATCAATAATGTAAAGATTTTATATGGTGCCAAATGGGCACTTTTATTAGGGAGACCGCTTCATGGACGGTGTAGATGCCTGACCACCGCAGTGTAAACCTGAAGCTGAAGCTGAATAATACTGAATGTCAATATAATTTAATATATATATAGTCACAGGATGGAGATTACAGCTTACAGCGTGGAAATGAATCAGTGGAACTGTAACAGCTATATACAATGTCAGAGGGGTAGGAGATTGGGGGAGGAGGGTTATCACTTTGTGAGGTGGGTAAATGTCTAACTATTACATCATTTTGTACCTGAAACTAATTTAAAAAATGCAAAAATCCTTTCCTATGTCTATACCTGCATTATTCAATATATTAGCTACTTGCAACACTAAATCAGAAATAAAATTAAACATTCAATTCCTTAGTCACACTAGCCACATTTTAAATGTTCAAAAGCCTCATGTGGCTAATGGCTACCATATCAGAGAGCATAGGTATAGAATATTTCTATCATCACAGAAAGTTCTTTCAGACAGTGTGGCTCTAGGTCCTTATATTTAACTACTTTTTTGATGCAAACCATCAGATATCTTCCCAAAATTTTAAATGTCCAAAAGTGAACTCATTATCTTTCCCTTAAAATTTATTCTTTCTTTATTACCAGTTGTGGTCAACTGTACCATCTTGTACCCTTTCACACAAGTCATAAACTTAGGAGTCATTCTGTTTTGTTTGTTTTTTTAAAGATTTTGTTGGGAAATTGGGGGATGGGAACAGCGCTGGGGAATTGGGGGAAGGGGAACAGACAAGTTCCCCTTCCTTTTGTTCTTCAGTCTAGTTTTGGAGGACGTTGCTTCACTGGCCCAAGTTGGCACCATCATTGCGCTCTTCCCAGGTGAGGCAGATCAGTCGCCGGCTTCTGGACGGCAGCTCACAGTGGCTGCTGGCCGCTCACACTGGCTGCTGGCCGCTCACACTGGCTGCTGGCTACACCCGGTAGCCCATGGCAACCCACTGCAGCAGGGCCTGCAGCCTACGCCGTCACCAGCGACTCACGGCAGCCCAGCTCCAGGTTGAGCTGTTGTTCAGCATCTTAGCTGTAGAGGGCAGCGTCCCAAGCCAGTTCTTAACCAACGTGCCACTCGGCTGGCTCAGGAGTCATTCTTAATTCATCAATCCTAACAGCCAGCCAATCCATGACCAAGTCTTGCAATTCTCTTTTTTTAATATCACTAAAATTCCTTTCTACCTCCACTCCTACTAGCCCATTTTAAACCCATTTAATTCTTCTTCAGGGCTTTTTCAAGTATCCTAATTGTTCTCCTTGCCTCCAGTATTATGCCTCTCTAATACAGTATTCACATCATAACCAGTGCTCTTTCTGAAAAAGAAATTTCACTATGTCTCTCTTTCTTAAAATTTCTGTCTCCCCATACCCACCATAAGATAAAATCTAACTCCATTGTACAGGTACCAGCAAGAATTGGATGACGTAGTCAAAATAGATTTTGTTGGGTTTTTTTTGGGGGGAGGGGGGTTGTTTTGCGAGCACCATCTCTGCCACCAATGGTATGCATACAAACCTACAAGACTAGATGAGATCACCAAAGGAATGGATGTAGATAAAGAGAAGAAAAAACATCTTAGAATTGAGCACTGAGGCACTTCAATGTTAAGAGAACAGGAGCAGGTATCAGAGAAGTAGCCAGTGTGGTAGGAAGACTTAGAGAGGGGGCCTGGAAGGCAAGTGAAGAATGTATTTCAAGGAGGAGTGTTGTAAAGTGCTAAATTGTTGTTAAGTCAAATAAGATGAGGTATGAGAACATACCAACGGATTTACCAATGTGGTGATCTGAACCCAAGCAATTTCAGGAAGGAGAACTAGAGAAATGTGGTAAGGCTCCAAGGAAGCTCCAAGGGCCCACTTGAGGTTAGTGGTCGAGGACTTAAAGGGACACCAGTTATCAACATGTGATTTTCTTTGGCCTTGCTCAGCTGTGTGGGTACAGATACACATTAGTGGAAGGAATGGATTTAACCAGGGTTGGGTCCTACTAGGTGAGAATGATAAAGGGATTCAAAGGTATATGGAAAAAAGTAGTTATGATGATAGACCATGGAATGTAGGCTTCTTAAAGAGGCAAGTGAGCACAGGCAGTGGGTAACAGGCAATAAAAAAGGTAGTAGAAAACAAAACAAAAAAACACACAAAAAAAACGAATAAAAAAAATAAAAGAAGGAAAAAAAGGTAGTAGAATCAATGGATGATTGATTCTGGTGAAGTTGAGGAAATGTGTGGGTTTTAGAATTGTGACCAGTTTTCAGAAGAGGTGGTACTGTAAAGAGGATAGGGCCTCTAAATACTCGACCTCGTGTAAAACAAGGCAGCCCTTGGAATATAAGTACTTCTTAAATTAGGTCAGTAAATGGTTGTTGAAATGGCTGTTCATTCCTCATTTTATACATTACAAGGCTATTGTGTTTTAATATTAGGTTTAAAACACCTTTCACACCAAATCTCATTTTCTTTCCTTTTTTTATTATTTTTCAATTACAGTTGACATTCAATATTTTATATTAGTTTCATGTGTACAGCACAGTGGTAAGACATTTATGTAATTTACGAAGTGATCCCCCTGATTCATACAGTACCCACCTGGCACTGCACATAGTTATTACGATATTATTGACTATATTCCCTATACTGTACTTTTTCCATATGACTCTGGTGACACTAAGCTTGGAAGAAGGAATACTTAGGAATTTGATGCAATTCAGACAAAATAATATGGGCCTGTAATGGCACATTGTGAGAAAAGGTACAGAATTATTTAAAACATAGATACATATAGGACTACATTTGTATGTTCTGAGTGAGGGCATACTTGAATTATTGAAGTCTTCTATGTTTAAAATTTAGACAACCCAATGATTGAGGTAAATAAAACAGGCTGAGGAGCTGCAGAGATATGAATTCAACCAATTGAATATTGAGTCTGAGGTGCCCATTGGTTCCTCACTAGAAACTTCAGAAGACAGTCTGAAATAGGAATCTGGAGCACAGATGGAATCGCAGTTGTGATAACCACATCCAGGTGGAAGAGGCATAGAAAAAAAAACTCTTAAGGACAAACCAGTAATTTGCAAATTAACAAAGATGAGAGCATAGCAGTTCTCTGGAAGGTAGGAGAAAACCGGGAGAGTGAAATCAAGAAAACAAAATTAAGAGAATTCAAGAGAAGACTGGTCAAGAATATTAAATACAATGAAAGGATTACATGAGATGAACTGATAAGTGACCACTGGATTTGCTGTGTTATCTTACTATTAAGTTGCAATAGTATGTGAAAAACAGTGATGGTTTTGCCATGAACGGAGTGACCAAATATAAAATAAACAAGCTGAACTCACCTTAAAGGGCATACCTTTTAAAATATTAAACATACTATTAACCTGAATTAGAGAAAATTTCATCTATTTTCATCACTCTTAGAAGGCCTGACGATTTATGTTCAGGAGCCAAGAGGTTCATCACTCCTGTCAAATTCATGCATTTGTCATATACAGTTGACCCTTGAACACGGGTTTAAACTATATAGGTCCACTTCTATGTTTGTTTTTTTTAGTAAGTACGATAAATGTATTTTCTCTTCCTTATGATTTTAATAACATTTTCTTTTCTCTAGCCTACTTTATTGTAAGAATACAGTATACAATATATACAGCATATAATTTACTGGTTAATCAATTGTTTTATGGGTAAGGCTCAGTCAACAAACAGTAGGCTATGAGTTAAGTTTCGGAAAGTCAAAAGTTATACAGGGATTTTCAGTTGGGCAGGGTTAGTGACCCTAATACCCCCCCCACGCCATTTTTCAAGGGTTAACTGTACTTTTTTTGGGGGGGGGAGGGGTAGGGAAAGGAGGGACATTATACCAGATATTTCAGCCTTCCTCAGAACTGAGCCATCCACCATCACAGCCTTCTAATAAGAACAATTTGAAGGGTCCAGCCTTTTAACTTACCCAGGCCATCAAATTCCCGGAGCACCCCAATCTCATCCAACCAAACCACATCTGAAACTTCTCTGTGCTAACCACCAACCACTGCTCCCTGAACCTCCAGGAGCTACAGGCCTCTAACCCATAGGGAATCACCTAACCACTCCTTGCCTTGAGCTGGCCAGGTGCTGGGCGCACGGCAAGGGAGACTGCTGCTGCTGCTGCGGTCGCCTGCGGCTCCAGACGTGCCCAGAGGGGTGGAGGTGGAGGCCTTGGCTGAAGGGCGGCTCTGAGGAGTCTCCTGGAATCCAAAATTGTAGCGGGGACCTTGTGACCGAGCCTCTGTCGATGAGGTGGAAGCCGCAGGAACGGAAGGAGAAGTTGATGAGACCTCAGGCCTCAACATCTTCACAAATCTCAGGCCCAAGTATGTTTCTCAGCGCCCTCTCACGGAGCCCAAGGACCGAAGCGACGCCGGAAAAGGCGGGAGAACGCGCAGAGCCACGGAGCCACAAAGCGCAGGCGCGGAGCCACAAAGCGCAAGCGCAGAGCCACAAAGCAAGCGCAGGCGCACAGGGCCCCAGCTGTCCACACCATCACTTTTCACCCATCCACACTTGAAAATGTCCCGGCAGTTAATCCCATCACCTCCCACTTTTTGGTTTAGCGTAATGAGATAGACCTCAACCTGTAGTTATCACCCAAACGTTGATTCCTCCTGATTCACAGCACCTTACTTTCCCTTATCCCAAAGCGTCTGGTGCTTAACATTTACCACATACCCCCCAAATACACTAGCTTCTTTTAAAATACAAACTACACTGTGAACCTCGTGATTATAGCACAAATGTAATGCTCACTTTCGTACAACCCATCTAACATCGTTCTTGTAGTTCAACACTGGAAAAGAGCCATTAACCTTACAGTGTAAACCACAAGACGGTATTAAATGCTGCAAAACTGACTCTCAACCTGTGCATAGTACAGGAGGAACCATGGAAAGCAGTTTTCTTGAGACAGATTTAAGAACAATTCTCAATGTCTTGTACTGTGGTTTCACACAGGTATAATTAGGAGCAGACTACAAATTCAAAATCTAGTTTCACCACAAATGACCGTTAGGAAATTAAGTTCTGTACGTTTACTTTCCTTGAAAATGGAAATAGTACCAACTTTGAGACAGCATGATTTAGAAAATCTGGACACTATTAAAAGACATTTCATTTAAAACAATTCATGCAATTAAATATCTCAATAAATCAAGTATTCACTGCATAGTTCACCCACATGCAATGACTGCAGTCCTCAAAACTTCATATACTTCCAATGACACCATTTGAATGTTTCATCCAATAACCTCCACTCAGAAACAAACTATTGCCATTTAGTCAACTACTCAAATTGGTGAATGGTCAAAATAATGCTAGATACTGCAAGAATCTCATGTAAGAGCCTATTCTCCAGGTCGTTAACCATGTTACTGGCCAACAGTGTGTTAAGTGAACCATCACTACTCACCTGTAAAACTATTCCCAAAATGACTATTACACAGGTATTGCCAATATACTTGAAATTTCAACTTCCACCTCAAAAAAAGTTTCATTAAAATACTTTCTTTTCAATGTAAAAACTTATTAGAGAATAATTGTGCTCATTTTAGTCTTTTTGAAAACACAAGTACAAAAAATACTGTGGCAACCATCAACTTGTTTCCTTACTAGCAGAGAAAAAAGGTCAAAAATCCCTAGGGTAGTAAGGAGCGCCACTCTGACATAAATTGTTAAAATTGAGAACACAGTGTAGTCCAAATTGCAATCCTAGTCTAAGATGGTGAATTGTCATTTACCTAAGTTACTTTGTGACCAACTCAGAGTAACCACAATTTATGAAATACTTCCAAATTTCAAGTCATTTATTTTTAGAATCTTTCAATTCATATTTTAAATGAGATTTATCAATTTTTATCATTGACACTGGCCAATTTACATGATCATTACATAACATATGAAGGGAACATGTGGGAAAATCAAGTAGAACAAACACAAGATTCAATTAAATAGCTCTTAAACTAAATGTTACTGTTATGGAGAATATAAATACATTGAAGCATAAACCAAATATTGTACTCAAGAGTAACAGCATTCTAGAAGAAAATCTGAAGCTGAAGACACAGTAAATCTTTATTTTACAATATGTATTATACAATTTCTTAAAAATTAACAGAATATACAAAATATTAACACAGTAGTCATTTTTAAGTTTGATAACCACTTCAAATAAAGAAATGTTAAGATGGCAAAACTATACTAAGCAATTTTTGCATCAATGAATCTAGCTCACTAGTTCAGGCTGAACATTCACTCTCCGAAGTACTTCCTCAGGCATACAAAAAACAGGACTAACGGGTTTAATCTCTTCTTCTCCCAAAAGTGACAATCCAGCAATTCCAAATAAAGTATGAAAAGGATCTACCTATTAAAAAAATAAGAATTTAGTGTTACAATGTGAATACTTCTAAAACCCTGCTTTGCTTCTGGACCACAGTTACACTATAGCCCACTGTATTTCCTTTACTTCTATGTATGCTTCAAATTTTCTGAATAAAAATGATGGCTTCAAATTGTGGTTAACAATTGTAACAAAGACTAAGGTTTTAGCAGTAAGTAATGAAAAATTTCTGTAAACTTTATATATTTTATATAGTCTCAAAAATTACCCAAAAAAGCAACTCTTGGAAATAAATATCCATTTCTAAGTCTGGAATAGCTTAGAGCCATAAAAGTAACGCAAAGCAACACTGGAATATAATGATTACATGAAGATGTCAGAAATAATACTTGCCATATCTCCTGGCCTGTCTGCAAATCCTCCTGTTTCTTCATCTTGACATGCTAAAATAAAACTACGCAGTTTCTCTCTATCAATCCAATGAAGCCTTCCAATTATCTTTAGAGAAGCCAACACCCACCATGAATAGCATACATCCGGTAACTAGAAGGGAAAAAATGCAAAAATTGCCTTTTATTCTCAAGTCCACACATGGGGGATTGATTGGGAAGAAATCAAGGGATATACTGAATGCAGTGTCTGAAATGCTGAAATCCATAAATACAAATGCTTAGAATTAAAGATAATCACTGAAAAAGAGAAGGCCGAACACTCCAATCTACAGAAACTCATGCTGTATGTTTCAGTCTCAATACTTCATGAAAAACATCCATCTAGTTTTATTTCCATCTGCAATGAATGCCTAACTCAGCCCCTTAACCAAGAAGCTGGAGGTGAGGCTCATGAAATCCATAGTGATATGTTCCATTTCCCCAGGTAGAGCATTTCTAACAAGTGCTGTCCAGATAGGCAGACACCTACTTAAAAATCACCTAAAGTCTGGCTCCTCAAAAAAGGGTCAACTTGGGCCGGCCAAGAGGCTCAGTTGGTTAAGAGTTTGCTTAAGAGCATAAGCTCTGAGCAACAGGGTCGCCGGTTCAATTCCCACATGGGCCAGGGAGCTGTGAGCTGAGCTGCTGGCAGGATGGCTCAGCTGGTGAGAGCACATGCTCCTAATGACAAGATTGCCTGTTAGATGGTCGGCTATGCCCACCGGCAGCTGAGGCTGAACTTGGCACCTTGAGCTGAGCTGCCACCAGGATGGCTCAATGGATAGAGCATGCACTCTTAACAATAAGACTGATGGGTTCGACTCCCGCATGGGATGGTGGCTATGCCCACCTGCAACTAAGACTGTAACAGCACTTTGAGCTTAGAGGCCACGAGCTGCCGATGATGGGCAACCAGATGGCAACTGGCGCCCTCCACACCTAAGACTGAAGAACTTGGCTGATCGCCCTCCCCAATTCCCCAACACTGTTCCTCTCCCCCCAATTCCCTAATTAGGAGAAAAAAATAAATAAATAAGTGTCTTTTAATATTTTTTCATCAAGTGTCTTTTAAATGGACCCAGGGTTTAATAAGCATTTCAACCCATTGTTTTACTTTCGAGCAGGGCATTTCTTTGGAGGCACAACTGAAAAACTGCACAGCTCATTATCAATTTATAAGAGCAATACTGAAAAAAATCCAAGATAAATAAGTGTTACTCAATGTTATAAAGCTACTAGAGCAATTTATCTTATGAAACAATACCTTCTCTGGCCTTCCATTGAGTCCACCTGAAGGTAACTGTCGTTCACAAAGCCACCAACCGAGTAAATCAGAATTTACTTGATGTAACTGATTAGTAATAGCCAGGAATCCTGTGCAACAATAGATCTAAAATTACAGACATAAAAGTACAGGTGTATAATTTTTTAATAGTAATAGTGATAAAAACTCAAAATTATTCAAATTCCATTTTATGTCTAAAAATTTCCTGACAATGAACAGTTAAAAACTGCAAACACGTAAATATAGTTGAACAAATCCAAGCATACTATTACCAAAATCCAATTCTGCAATGAAATACTACTGTCAAAATATCTTAATGGTTAAACGATATTTTATTTGACAACTATTTACATAGTCAATATTCTCTGGCACAAGCAAATAGATGTGTTCAGGACAGGTACAGACAGAATGTTTTCAACTGCTTTGTTTGTTGCCTGGGTCAGAAGGTTTCATCAATAGTGTAATATATATAAAGCAAACTATTGTAAAAATGCTTTCCTTAACCAGCAATTAAACTCTTATATAACATCCCACATTATATTACATTCAGTTAATAACTTCATTCATATTTAACAGACACTAAAATTACTATTAACGTATTTTAACCTGCATTAATATATTACCTGCCCAGCATGGGATTCAGAACCTGGCCTACAACCAAATCCACCATCAAAGTTCATACATGATAAAACAAATTCGATCGCCTTTTCCACATTAATAGCATCCAGCTTCCCCTACAAACAGAAAAAAATGCACCTATTAAATTCCAGAGGAATCATGGACACTATTTCATTCCAATACAATATTCCAAACTTACCAATAGAGCCAAAGTTGCCACTGCACAAAACGAGAATCTTGTATCAATTTCTCCTAAAAATAAAAGGGATCAAACAAAAACGTTAAGTGTTACCAGAGGCTTCTGATCGTAATACACACGTTAACTAAAAAACTCTGTACAACTACCATGGTTAGATATCCAATAGCTCAAGCTTAAAATTTACTTTTAGGTTGCCAGAAGGAAAGCTAAATTTCCTTTACTTCTAAGGAAACGAAGAATTAGAAAAATACAGCTAATTATCTTAAATTGCACACACAGTGTTTGGGGGGGGGGGGGGGGGGGGGGGGGGGAGTAACTAACACAGAAGCCAAAAGGACTAAACAATTTCTAATAAACTTACCCTATTACATAAAAGATTTTCACATCCCATGAAGCAGCTGGTCTCTCCGGCCTGCACTGTATAGAGCCCTAAAGTAGAGATTACCTACATTTATCAAATAAAATATTCCCTCGATTCACTCAACTATTCAGTAAGCTTATATAGTTCTGAAGTGTTTCCCCCTTGCCAGTAAGTAGTTTAGAAAACTTTACAAAGCCACCAAATATGGGGGGAACAAATTTCACCTACCTTATCTTTTAGACTGGCCCCCTCTGTTCCAGTGCTCCTGTGTGCTCATATAACTAGCACAGTGCATGCTGGAACTTCCAGCAGACTAACTCCAGTTAGACCAGCTGCTTAGTGGGACCTGAAAAGATGAAAAACTTAAAAATCTCCTTTATAAATTAGCAAAGCCTCCCACTCACTGTACTTAAAACTTTGCAACAAAGCTTATTACTATAATATACAGCAAAACATTTTAACCCTCCGTCAGGCGCAACTGATCTCAGATTCATTGCACACAAAGATGCCGCTATGAAATACGTCTTTACTATACTAAGTCACAAACACGTCTGGCAACAGGTTACGGTACAGGGGGAAGATATGGAAGTGATGAGTCACAATACTTAACTGTTAAGATATATGAAAATTTGTGTGCACTGAATCTGTGAGATCAGTTGCACCTGACCGAGGGTTAATATTGGTATTTTGGGTAGCATGGATGAAAAGCACATTACCCCAAATATCGCCAGCAAAAGAACCATCTTCTTTCTGTAGACTTTGAACATATTCAACAACTTTATTTACGTCAATAACATTAATACTTTCATACAGAGTAAGAATCTGTAAGAAAAAAAACCCATGTTAATTACATCTTCAAAAAGCTTGTTCCCATGTTCAAGTAACTTTAAGTTGTCAAGCAAGTATGTCCTTTTGTCTACGCATATTGTTAACTTTTCTCAAACATGCAGACCATCTTATATGCAATTATAGGTATTGACAACAAACCCAAACCTTTTTATATAAAGGAAGATATATAAATTGTAACTTAGCATTTCAAGACTTTGTGAGTCTAATAGACTTTAAACCCTTATTTGTAGATCTTCACTAATATCAAAATTAAAATATTTAACTCTACCTATTGATTTTCAAATATTTACATATACTAAAGATAAACATTTTACCATCCAAGGTCTCAGTGTAATTTCAGAATTTACATCAACTTTGGACTCAGCTAATACATGCCATCACATCATTGACCTTGTAGAATGCAGACTTCATTTGCAAAGATTAGGGTACCCACTTTTGTCACCTTCCTAATTAACTCATTTCAATTTCCCCACTTTCAGGTAAGAGTATACACTACCAAGACTGAATTTACCTGGACAGCACTCAGAGTATACAAAAGATGAGGATCATGTCCGATACTAGCACTTATTCCACCACACTCGTGTTGACATGACTGAATAAATG